GAAAGAGAAGCATGCCAAAGGTTGGATCATGGTCAAACAGACAAAGGCTCCATCTTCAGTCCTTCCCTACCAGAAGCCATCCCATTCATCATCTAGTGCCTACGAGTGCCCCATTCTAGCACTGGTACAGCAAAGGTAACATGAAATTTAGAGTCTTAACTCTGACACGTACAAGCTGGGTGAATCATTTAACCCCTTACAACATCAACCGCTACATTTTTAAAAGAGCAAGTCTAACTCTCATGAGGGGATAAAGAGAAATCCTGAAGTCCTGTGAATTTGCCTCATCTAGCCCCTGATGCTAAGTAGGCGCCTAACCATGATTATATTTTCTCCCTTCTTTTTGGTTCCTTCTACTTTGCTTTCTTAGGATTTAAAAACATCCCCAATATTTTGTTTGTATATTTAAAAAAAAAAAGAAAGAAAAAATAAACTGCTAAAGAGTTCAAGAAAACTAGAAACAACAAAGAGGAACTGAGTCTATTTTAATTGTATTCTGGAGAAAATAACCCTGCATTTGGCATCCAATTCATTGATGGTTCTTATAGAAAGAAGTTAAGGGTCTTTGATCACATAAACCATGGGTAAGAATATGTAGCTTTTGGGGGAAATACCAACTTGCCTAATGATTTATGCATGGCATGTGGGGTGAAAACATCAAATGAGAAATGACTGATGAAAAGGGAAAAGAATAGATGAGTGCCCAATGGAAACAATAGTTTCTAAAGGAAGTGTTAAAAACAGGTTAACAACTGTCTTAAAAAAAAAAAAAGAAAGAAAACCTTGAGTCTGGTACTACTAAAAAAAGTATTTTAAGGCTTTATAGTCACAAAGTTTTAGAAGAAAAATAATTTGATGTTATTTTCCCAAGTGATGTTTCATTCTTCTTGTGTAAGGGTTCTCTCATGTAGGGTTAGTCCAAGGCACAGGATCATGCACCACAAAGCATGGAGCATAGCCCTCCATGCTTTGACCACAAGCATTTTTCAGTCTAGGGTGAGAAGATGCAAAGGACCAGAGGCATGTTAAACTCAATCACTATCCCAGGGCTGAGCACCTTCCTTATGTCCAGCAAAGTGGAAAACCTATGGCATTTCTGAGGTCTCTATTCTGTTCTATTGGTCTACATGCCTGCTTTTGTGCAAGTACCATGCTGTTTCGATTATCACAACTTTGTAATATAATTTGGGGTCAGGGAGTGAGATGCCTCTTACTCCACTCTTCTTGCACAGAATTGCTTTGTCAATTCTTATGATTCCAGACAAATTCTATGATTGTTTTTTTTCTAAATCTGTGATGAATTACTCTGGTAATCTAATTGGGATTACATTAAATATGTAGATTCATTTGGGTAGAATAGATATTCTGATTATATTAATTCTTCTAATCCTGGATATCTACCCAAAGGATAGGAAAATGCTCAATCAGGAAAACAGTTGCACATTCATGTTTATTGCAGCATTATTCACAATTGCTAAGACATGGAACCAACCCAAATGTCCACAAGTAGATGAATAAATTGAAAAAGTGTGGAACACATATACTACAGAATACTAGTTAGTCACACACACAAAAAAATGAGATCCTGGCATTTGATAGAAAGTGGACAAATATGGCAGATTTACAGCTCAGTGAAGTAAGTCAGACAATAAAAGAGGCATTGTATGTCCCCATCCATATATACCGAATAAGAGCACTCTGTGGCAGAAACTGAATGATTGAAAGATATAAAAACATGGAGAGCAAGGATGATACTAGAGACAGTGGGGGAGGAGGATGGAAAATGGTAGAGGGAAAGAAGGAGGAAGGTAAGGGGAAGAAAAAAGAAGCGAAATATTTAAGAGACCCAAAATAGAAAGAAATCTTTTGATTATAATGTTTATGGTAATGTCTTTGACTGGGCCAAGAAGCAGTATATTTATGATGGAAAAATTTGTTTGGTATGCTGTAATGGTACACAGTGATTAAATGTGTAAGATAAAGTAAAGAAAAAATATAAAAAAACCTATGGAAATGAAGAGGCCTCTTGATCATGGGAGGAAGGAAGATGTGGGAAGGAAGTATGGGGAAAAGCAGGGAACAGGAAATGGAGGGAGGAAAGGCTTCTTTCCATAACCAGCTGGAGGCAGCAACTCCTTGGCCTCCCTGTGCATCCTAGCACACTGGTGTGCACTGGTCGATGAGTATCAAGTAGTCCTTGAGCTGATTCAAATGGGAGCAAAGACAGAAAAGGAGCGAGAGGGGCGGAGAGGTAAAGTAACAGGAAAAAATAAATCAATAAACTGTTATATGTCTAAAGGAATGAAGAAAACATGTTATAAATGGGGAGAGACATGGAGGTTTGAAGTAAAGGGACTCTCTTGGGCACAGAGCCAGATGTGGCCCAATGGGCACCATGACATGGCCCTTGTGCCCATTCTTCTGTCTAGGGCCTTTGGTGAGCTCGTCGAGTACAGAACTCTACCCGGCTCTGTGAGGCCTGCAGAAGGGCGCAGGGAATGAGGTCTCTGGTCTTCAGTGCTGTGTTAAAGGGAGTGCACTGGAGCCTAACTGTAACTTCTGCAATTCCCTGAACACACACGTTTATAACGTTATCCAATTTTTTGAACCATTTTCCTCATTTGCAAATAAGATGAAACACTGCTCTGTTTACCTCTCTGTTGTGAGGATAAAATTTTAAAAAGCGTTTTGTAAACAGATATATAAACAGAAGGAATAGTTTTCACAGCTTTTGTGTCTGCACATAAGTACATGAAAAGACATATAAACACTTCCAATAAAGGTAAAATTGGTACGTGAAGTTAAACAGACATATCTTTGTTAATATAGTACCTATCAGATGGCAGTCAGAGATAAAAGAGTCAGGGGCCTGGTGTTTGACCCCAAGACATAAACTGTATTCAGAAGACAGGCAGGGAGAGACTGGAGAAGGGATTAATGATGGCATGTCTAGGAGAACAAATCAGTTTTGACTTTTATACTGCCGGATGTTCTCTTGGCTGAAGCAGAATATCCATATTAGGAAAGATATGGTCAGAAAAATTACACAAGGAAGCAGGTAATGCAAAAACCTCTAACTCACACACAGGAGTTAAAAACAGTAGCACAACCTATGTTTCAATAGCATATTGAAACATTTCTTAAAATTTAAAAGTTAGGAAAAAAAAGGAGTTAGAAATACAGAAGAGAAAAAAGAAAAAACTGAATACATTCACTTAAAATCCGTGTGTAATAAAATTGGGTGCATGTAAGCAATAAATAAGGATGATAAAAGGATTTCTGAAGGGAACCAGCAGTAAACGTAATGGCTATGTCGCTGGACTCCCACGTAGTCAACCGCAGTTCGCGTCCTGGACCTGGTGGCTTAAAACTCACGCCGGGCGCGTGTGCGTGCGTCCCCAAGATCCCGAGTGGAGAATGAAGGAGAAGGGATTGCGGCGTGACCATCCCCTCTGGGGGGTGATTTCTCGCTTTCTTTCTCTATGTCTCTCTTTGTCTGTCTGGCGAGCGCACGCGCCCTATAGCGAAAAACCTCTCCAAAAAAAAAATGGATTTCTAAAGATAATGTCTATTTAAGGGTCACTATAAATAAATACATACATGAGTACATAGTAAATAAATAAAATAAATCAGTGGAGAATGAAGGAGAGGGGATTGCGGCGTGACCATCCCCTCTGGGGGGTGATTTCTCGCTTTCTTTCTCTATGTCTCTCTTTGTCTGTCTGGCGAGCGCACGCGCCCTATAGCGAAAAACCTCTCCAAAAAAAAAATGGATTTCTAAAGATAATGTCTATTTAAGGGTCACTATAAATAAATACATACATGAGTACATAGTAAATAAATAAAATAAATCAAAGCAAAATAAAATAAAACTGCACTAAAACCGACTGGCCAGCTGTGGAATACAGAAGCGGCTTCTTGGAGGAGAAGTTTAAGCCCGCACATCCACAAGTAGAATTAATTAGCAAAGAAGGCTTGGAAAACCCTTGCAAGGTGAAGGACTAGTATGACCAAAGACATGGAAGTTGAGCATCCTGGCATCTGAGGAAACTTGCAAAGAGCTCTATATTTTTACATATGAGGTGAAGAGTAGTCTCAGATAATGTTCTGCAGTTTCCTGGGGGACTACTTCAAGAAGTCTCTTATGCCCAATAATGAAGGGTGTCACTAGGTTGTCCAGGCTTGCCTCAAACTCAAAATCCCCCTGCCTCAGCCTCCAGTATCTGGGATCACAAGCACACACCATCATATCTGGCAGCTCTGGGCTTTATCCTGCAGATGATGACAAGCTATCCGAGAGTTCAAAGCAAATCAGGGGAGCGTAAAGGTGTCAATAAGCATGCCGGTGCATTTTTTTTCCTTTCTTCCTGTTCTGAAAACTGAGTTCTATCCTCCTCCTCGTTCCTTTTTTCCTGATCACCCACATTATAACCTCCTTTAGCTTCTAGCCCAGTCATTCACAGGCTTTGTAATTCATGTTTGTTGTTTTCCAACAGCCTGCCAGCTTGAAGCCCCCATGAATAGGTGAGGATCATATAACAGAACCATAACCACAAATAACTTCCAATTGTACTAGATATGGAAATCATGAATATTTATTTCTAAGTCAAGCTACAAACCCACGGGTAGCTATTTTGCAAACATTATTAGAAACAAGGTTCACTTCTCTCTCCTGATTAATGTCCTTCCCTATGAATATAGTTGTTTAAGATTTCCTGTGCATAAAGAGAGCCTGAATCCATTAATATT